CCGAGGATCACTGGTGGCATTGTTGTTGTGTCTATTTTAAATTAAAATTTGGTCGTATGAAGATTTTAACCGATTGAGAAGTCGATACTTTTAAAAATATCGTTTACTGATAGGTTCAAATTAAAAGAATGAAGTATTTGCAGATGCCTTTGGTACAGCTATATTTGGAATTAAGTATTTGGTGGGAATAAAATTTATGATTTAATTAAAATTTCCTCGATTGTTTAGCTGCTAATATTTATGTAATATTTCTAGGATATACTATAAGATTATATGGTTCAAAAAAATCGTGGTATTAAAAAAAAATTTTTCCTTCTTTAACAACTGAATTGTAAAATCATGCATCCTTAGCGATCACTTGAATTATGCAAGCACTTTTTCAAAAAAATTTTGAATTTAACCTTTTGAAATTTTTAGCACCTCGTTTTCGATTAAAATTCAACTCATTTCAGTTCAATTTTTTCCTAATTTTAGTTTTGTTTGTTGAGAAATTGAATTTGAATAGTTTGCTATTAGACGAAGATTGTTGTAAGGATTTATTCTTTGCTCGAGATTAGATGATATGTTATATGATATCAGCAGAGGGAAGAATTCTTCTTGTTGACTGTTAATGATTGAAATAATTGTTTTTTAATTAAAAAAAAAAAAAGATTGATGAGGAGTTGGATGAGTTGATTGTTCAAATCGATTGTTGATGTGCATGAAGAGAAATTGAATTGAAAATTTATTATGATGATAATGAATTGAATCTCGAATCCATTATTGTAATTGTAATGATATTTAAATGCTTTGAATAGTTAGGACTCGATGAGCGCTGTTTATGTAAAGTAAAGAAATAATTACCCGTTAGAGGAAATCAATAGTTAACAAAGATTATAATCATCTGATAATCACTGATGATATTTATAGAGGAATAAACAGGATATTTCAAATCGTTTGAGAGAAGAAGCATCTGATAATAATCATCAGTAATATCAAACAAAGAATCATTAATAAAAATTACTGAAATATTTAGATCATATCTTTTGAAATCAAAAAAAAAAATCTTGATAAACATTAACTAAGGATTAGTGTAAACAATATCATAAATCTTCACAAATATTTCAATCATTTTAACATTTTTTGTGCTATGGTAACGTTGGCTTTCCAACCGATATTATTTCAAATTTGTCACTGGAAAAGAATACTGTTTGATTTATTCGAATTCGAAGTAAATTGTTAAATTTATTTATTGCTTAGTAAAAAAATTCGTCTATAAAAAAGAAAATTTTGATTATTATTACATGTAATAAAAATTCATCCATCGATTGATTTCTTATTTTGAAATAGCATTATGCGTTAAATTGAATTTCTTGCAATATTAATTTTTTTTTTTAAGACAATAAAGGATTGTATTACAATAATACAATAGATTTTTAATACAATTTTTTTAATACAATAAATTTTTAATACAATTTTTTTTAATACAATAAACGATTTATTTTTGATGTAAGAGACAGTTGAATTTTTATGAAATTTGCGTATGTCAAAAAATAATCAGATAATAATTTTTTTTTTCATATTTCGAAAAATAAAACAAAAAAGAGACCCGACAGTTTATAGATATTTAAATTTCTTTAAATTGTTCCGTGTTAAACTTTTCCGTTAGCTTTTTAGTAGAACCATTTAAAATCTTCGTAAAAGGTAGAGTTATTTGCATAAGACTCGATTTCAGATTCCGGTTTTCTAAACCGCACAACTGCAACAGCTGATTTAGCCCGTTTGCTGTATGCATTTCGGACTCGAGCAACATGACGTGTGATGGATAAATCCTGACGAATTGACCGATGTATTGGTAAACAGGATGATGTAGCGGAGAAATCATGACGCATTCGAGTTAATCCACGTGATACGTGACAGGTACCACTTCTTAACTTTGTTTGTTCTGAAAACATTGGAAACCAACTCAATGAAGCATTAACTGCTTTGTTTCATTACACATTGAAATTCTGTCCTGATTTAACGATTATCAGTTAACCATCCCAATGATAAACATTTAAATTGAAAAATTAAAAACATCTCTTTCTAAAAAAACATCAAAAGATCACCATAATCGCTTTTGTCGCACCACTTTTTTCTTACGCGATGTCGAAGTGATGTGTGAATCATTCCAGATTCTTCGGTACATTCCGATGACGTCTCATTCGTATTCGCACGTGAAACAGGTCGTGAACTGATACCGGAATCTATCGGAGAGAAATCACTACCATAGATTGACACATCATCTTCACCATGACAAAAATCGACATTGGTAAACGCGTTTACCTACAAATACTACTGAACAATAACAATGATTAATAAATAGCGTACGTGACATATAGATTGAATTTCAATTTTACATTAAAATTACGAATAACTTAAATTTACATATCAATACAAATACAAAAAAAAGTAACTAAAACGAAAAATTTTATGTTTTTAATTAACATTGGTAACAGCATGATTGAAATATGTGAAAGAGAATTTTGAATAAATTAATTAAAGGAATAATTTTAAAACTTTAGCTTAGTTATTAACCATCTTGGAAGTATTAGGCCATTGTTTTAGATGCATGATATCTGTATGTTTCTTCTGTAATATTTCATTTCTTTTCATTTCTTTGATTCTTGTACCTGTATCGGATACTGCAAGGTTGTCAACTGATTTGATGAATATCAATTAATATTATTGGCAATACATGGTAAGTAATTTCATTTGAAATTAAAATTCCAGATGCTGCAAGATCAATTAATATTATAAGTAAAACATGTTAAATAATTTCAGTTGAAATTAAAATTTTCCACTCACACAAAAACCTAACTTTCCTTCACGAGAATGATTTATACCTGTATTGTCAGCATTGCAAAAGTAGTTTGTTATCACAATTAAAAAGCCCTGAATGAATTGGAATAAAACAATGATTATCGTCCATAAAACTGACGAAATAATCAGTGTTGGTGATGAATTTGTTGAAGAATTAGACGATAGAGCCTTAAAAAAAAGGCCTTCATACCTAGTTGACTGGTTTAAAAACATATTAAAAAAGTAAGAAATTTTATTTTGAGTTATCAAAAAATATATAAGTGCAGAATACATTTGATCTTTTCTCTGAAAAATTTTGAGAAAAGTTTAAAA